GACCTGCGGCTCCTTGTCCTCCTGGAAGCAGAGGGGCCGTTGGACAGCGGAGCCGTATGGCCAGACCCCGTGGTCCCATGCCGGCCCTCGCAGCCTACCGCGAAGAACGTGGGCATCAGCTCGGAGCAGCAAGCACTGTAGGACTGGAGGAGCCTCTCTACGGTGGCAATGCTCAGTTTGATTCCCCCTAAGGTCTCCTCTATTTCTCCTTGCAAGCCCTTCATCACTTCCTCAGGGCTCAGGAAGTTACGGGTCTAAAAAAGACAAATGCAGCAGTGGCCTTCAGCGGACAAGCGCTCCGGGCGCCCTGCTATCTCCACCTGCTCTCGGGTGACTTTCCGTGACCCACATCTGCCCCAAACCCTCTCCAGCCCCATGTCGGGGCTGTGCCAGTCCCTCAGTTAAGGGGGTGTCTCTCAGTCCTCTCAGCTTCTCCCAGGTCCTGCCAGCACTCCGGCAGCAGGAAGAGGGTCTCAGCCGGGTCTGACGCCCACCCGGTGCCACCCATCGGGAGCAGGAACCAGCCCTTCTGCAGCCCCTTCCCGGGCCCCGGGCCCTGCCCGGGGTGGTACCATCTCGATGAGGAGGTTGCAGATCTCCTGGAGGATGACGATGACCCTGGAGGGCGTGTTGTAGTGCTGGGAGCGAGCCCACACGAGGCAGAGCGTGTAGAGCACCCGGTCGAGGCAGGGCTGCAGCTGGGGAGTGGAGCTGGGTCAGCGCCGGGGCCCTCGGCCGCGCGGCGAGAGGGACAGCAGCCCCGGGGCAGGTCCGCACCGGGACGCGGGGCTCACCGCGACCACTCCTGCTTGGACCAGGGCGGGCAGGTGGTGCCTGGCGGCTTCACCACGTATAACCTACCTGGGAGTAGTCTGTCTGCTCCATCTCCTCCAGCAGGATCTGAAGTGGCCGCAGGTAAAGGCAGATGTTGTGGGCTTCCTCCAGACCTAGGTCAGAGGAGGAACTCAGCATCGGCCGTCGGGCGGTTTCGCAGAACCGGAGGGAGGTGGGTGCCGGGGATGTACCCGCAGCCACGTCGTTGAACGCGGTCTCCAGAGCAGGCCAGTAGCAGCTGTCAC